GGATTTGTGGCATACTAAAAGTTAAGCCGTGGCCAGGGATCAAGGAACCACTAAGCTTTGGTTGCCAAATTGAAAGGGAGTTGCGACCAAGCGGGACATATTGGGAACTTCGGTCCGAGAGTGGGCTCAGCTTTGCTCAGGACATCAGCCGTTTGTTTCCCAGTTCGAACTGGTGTCTGTTTGGTTCCCTTGATTTCCCCGTGCTATCGATTTTTTCGAAAGGACATCTATAATATAGGATCTTGATTGTCTCGCAAGGTAGAATGGAGATGTGAGCCCTCAAGACTTGTGAGCGTGCAATTGGGGACATTTGTGGGATAATTGCTCACCTGAAGAAGCTAAGCAACCAACCTGGTTGGTCATGTTGGCATATGGGTGTGTGTGTGTGTGTGTTTTTGTTGCTGGGTACCATGGGGTACCCAGGTACCCTGTTTGTGTTGGGGCAACCAAAAGGACGGTCAACATTTTGGGGGTCCAAATTCTACCAAAGACACTCATACATGTCGGCGGTACGTTTTGAAGAGTTTTACCCCAATCGTGCTCTCAACCTGAAGGAAGAGAGTCTCGAACGGAGCAAGGCCTCGACTGCCCCCTCCCACCTTGGACCACTGACAGGGCTGGTCTTGCGACCAAATCGCCCCGTGGTGGAGCGCTCCAATAGGACACCTGGCCCCAGGGTCCAATCCCGACCCCAGGTTACTGGATGGTGGCCGGTCGCGCGCTGTCTTGCCGTTCCTCAAGCGCAATGCCGCAAGCTTATGACCCAAAGCCCACCGCAATCGATACCCGAAACCTGCTCACCAACACACCGCCAGCAGTTACCATAGTCATTGACTGAATCGCCTCAAGCCGGCCTGAGCACAGCAAGTCTTGCATCACGAGCCAAGCAATTGTTGTGTTCTTTTGTTTCAACTAGACGCCTAGGTTTAGTAGGCAGTCTTAGATAAAATGGCGACGCAAGAAGCCCCTTGGACTCTTTGTCATAGGGTTTGGGTAGTTGTTTTTGTTAATATGAGTGTCCTTCTTTGATGGTACCTGCTTTGGGCTGGTTGTTTAAAGGGAAACGGACAAGCCCATCTCAAGTTTGGATTACTCACTCACGCCGATCCTTTCCGGCGAGCTCGACGGACATGCTATGCTTGCTATGCACTTGCCATGGCACCTAGACGAGGGCTGCAAGTTCAGAGATCCTGGCGCGCTTGCTGTGTATTTGGCTCAAAGGGGACCCTGCAAAGCGGTTTCCTTTGGACTGCTCTATCAACAGGGAACACGTATAAAAGAGGGTAGCTTCAAACAAGCAGCCCTCATGTTCCAAGTATGGGAGCCTTGCAGGGTTATGTCCGCCTCAGTCATTCAACTGAATTCCTTAAAGTGACTGTTTAGGGGTGTCCCTTTTTTGAACATCTCCTCCAAAACACAACCTGGTCACTTCACGGTCCCTGACCATCAATTGGAATGCAGGTCCCTTAGGTTTGACCTCGAATGGAGGAAAGGACCCCTTTGGGGTTGTATTTCATGGGAACCAAAAGGAAACCAGAGTCGTGAGCGTAGTAGACTCGTAGACCCCCCAAGTACGGGAGTTGCTCAAATAAATGGATTGTGTCAAAGGGCCATTTGGGGTTCAAAGCAAACCAAAAGGAAGCCTATTTGAACAGCCCCACTGGAAATGCTGAGGCTGGCGCGCGAAGCTCCTGAGATGTTGCACGGCAAAGCAGCCCAGGTTTCAAGTTTGGAGATTCGAGCACGTGTGCTTCGGAGATTGCCACCTTCGCCTTGCCTTCCTCTAGAAACCTGCGAGGCGCAATGTCTCCGCTGCCAGCTAGCTTTGCTTCGAGCCGACAGCTTGCGGTCCATGAGATAATCTCGAAGGCATTGGTCCAATTCCGAAAGGACGCGCTGCATTGCATCTTTGCCAACACGTCTTTGCATCGGATGTCCGCATTTCCCGCCCAAACAAAGTTGTAGACTTCTCAAGTCGACTCAGGGTCTTCGTTGCGCTTATCCACTCAATGCATGAGTGACCACATGGGCAAGCGGCTCGACAGCTCCCATACAAGTGCCCATCTTCCAAATTGCTTTTGGAGTGCTGTATCATCTGCCTTGCCCGTAGCCAAGCTGAGCCTTCCAAGTCGCACAGAAGCCAAATTGACGATTTGGCGCCTGCCGGGCTATTGATGTCGCTGCAGCATTTTCAGTTTTGGATTTCTGCACTTTGCCCTCGCAGTCTTTGCCAGGTATCACGTCCGTGCGGGCCGCGACCCGAAGGACGTGGGGCTCTTGCCCACCGTTTCGCAGGGTGGGGGGCGGCGGGTGGTGGCGGCTAGGGCGAGTGGTGGCGGGTGGGGGGGGGGGGGGTTAGGGTTTAGTTTTCAGCTCTCAAACTTTCCACTTTTTGTTCCCAAGTTTCTTCTTCATTTAAGTCTAGGGCCAAAAATGTTGAAATCTTATGGTTAGTTAACTCAGCAGGCCGGCTTGTTCACAGGTTTGTTTGGGTAGGGTGGTCTTCAAATTGGATGTGGACTCCCCAATGGGTGGTGTTTCTTGTGATGTTCGCTTTAGCCAACTCTTATAGCGGTTCCGCTTTGGTTTGATCTTCAACCCTCTACTTCTTGGGCACACGTTTTTGTCCGTACCCGCTTGCAACAAAGTATGGGTTCAGGGTGTCTGGACATCCGGTTGTTGGGTTCCATTTAGGACTCAGTTTGATGATAGGTCAAACTAGATGGGCCCTGCAAATGGCTGGCCCGTGTCCAGAGGCATCAACCCAACAATTCGGCTCCCAGCTTTGTTTTGGCACATCCCTCTTAGGGCTTGTCTTCAGCACGGGCCATCTTTGGGACGCGCAAAAAGACCTCGAACCAGATCCCAACAGGGGTCTCTAATTCATACTCACCTGCAAATACACACAGAACCCAATAGATTTCGCGTTTTCAGAGGTATCTCCTTTGAGGGAGCCCCCCTTTTTGAGGTTCCATGTAAATCTGCAGGGCGGCGTCTGTTTGTCAACATTCCCGCAGCTGCATGCGCCGCACGTGCCTAATTCAAGGCAAGCCCAGGGGAAATCTGCGAGAGGTTGGACACTCCCACATTTTCCCCTATCAGCTAGGGCATGTTTGTTGACAGTTTTTGTCAGAAAAGGGTTGTTTCCCTTTAACCACCAGTTCGGGGGTCAGTTTGATCCTGCTAGAATAAAGACGTTGCGGGGGGTTGCGACGTCCCACAGTGAAGGTTTCTTTCATCCGGGTCCATGTCTTATTTCTGGTGGGTGAATTATGATGTGCCCAGATCTATATCCTGCATCCATGTATCTGACGTGCCTGACATGCTCAGCGTGTGCTAGAGACGTGACATGTCTGATGTGTCCCAAATCAAAATCCTGCGCCAGGGATGCGGCCTACACGTTGATTCTTCACAAGGGTTTGGGTGGACCTTTTCAGTAGGCTTTCATTGTGGCTCGCTTGGGGCCAAACAAATGGCTTGACAGGAACATGCGGAAGTTCTCCAACTGCGGGCCTTGATGCTTACGCACAGTCCCCCCCGCAACTGACATCTGCTTCACAGGAGACCTTCGACGCTGCAGCAAGGGCCCCGGGGCCTTGCACTTTGGACCGTGGCTGGGCTGTTCGTTCAATGGCATATTTCTCCCCCAGGCTGCTCGGCCTTCCGTTGGTTTTTCTGTATAACCAAGAATGTGGCCGGGCAGTTTGTCTTTGGCTCCCGGGCAGTTCGGAATTTGCGTTGCAATCCTCAAGAAAGGGAACCAACTCCGGCGACTCGAATCCAAAGGGAAAACGAATTGATTCTCATCTGTTCTGCCCCCCCTTGCCCAAGATTCGGGGCGATTGTCACTATAGTCAAGGCAAGAGGCCCAAAAAGTTTTAACTGGTTCGAGCGAGGCACTTCAGCATTTCTCATGGTGCAAGGGTATGTTTCAGAAAAGCTGAAATTGTCCGCAACCATGCTTTTGTGAGCGCGTGCCTTGTGGAAGCAGGTCCTAATTGACAGCTGAAATCCAACCAACATGGTCTCCAATAGCGTAGCCTCTCGATTCCTAGCCACTTTGTAGAGGTATTTATATTACACACCATATTTTACCAAAGGTTCATATCACTGTTAGCACTGGGATCAACGAAGCAGGCGACGACAATCCCACAGATGGCCCCGGAGCCTGGGGCATCAGTTGCACTTGGCAGGCAAGATATGCTGCTTTCCACGGCTTCTGCTGCATAGAAACGGAGGCCCAGGACAGAGTGTGGGTCTTGAGTGCTTCTTGGTGGTGTTATGTGGTTTGCGGGGGGGGGGGGGTGTAAGCGGAATCCAAAGAGAAACAAGGGAAACCACCATGTTTGAGGCTTCCCTTCTTGTTGGTACCCTTGCTCGTTGGAGACTAGACAAACCTTGTTGCCCTTTTACCCTTTGAGTTTCCTGCATGTTTTATGTTCACCAGCATTAAAGTTGACTGTTGCAAGGGAGCCTGAATCTGGTCCCCTTTTCCAGCGGCGTGAGTACACCCCCTGTATTCTCCGCGGGGTGGCTTGGGCAGTGGAACCCTTCTTGTGGAGATGGTCACAGTACTTGCCAACAAAAGGTGCGGCCGCCCTTTAGATTCTTCACACGGTTTTGGGTGGACCATGTTGATGCCAGGTTTTGATTGCGACTGAAAGCCTGACGATGACGAGGGTTCTCCTAAAGGAGCCAGCAACACGGAATAAGCCTTGGCCTCACTCGTAGGGAGTTCCACCGTCGCACAGCGACACCGGGGTCCATTGGTCCGTGGGAATCATCGTGTCCGCTGGTTGGCACAAAGAAAATTCTACATTGCTTTTCAAGACCATTCCCCCCCTCCCCCCGCAAACCAATGGACTCTTTGGGAGCAGTCGGGAGCAGTCGGACCGTGTCAAGTACATTTGGGGGTGTGCCCTTTTTGGGAAGCGCCTTTTTGGCTGGTAAAGAGGGAATCGAATACTGGCCATGGAAAGGCCATATTCTACTGTGGATGGACGGAATCCTGCACCGCCTAAGAAACCCTGGAACAATGATTCCCCAAAGTGGTGCAGGATTTCATCCATCAGTATTTTGGAACATGGCCCAGAAGAATATGACTGTGGGTCAAGAATAGGTACTTGAAATGGAACCCTAGTAAGTGAAAACATGGACCAAATCCTGCGGTCCAGGGCTGTGGGAAATGACCGCTTCTGTGATACAACAGAAAGGGCTTCCCAAAGACTAACCAGAAGAGGGAGATTCCCAAAAGAATCACAGTGGTTGGATAAACCCCTTGTGATCCCACCCTGCGGTCTGGCGGATATTTTTTTGACCCCACACCCATATTGAACACCGCAAGCGAGGATGCTGGTCCGGCGCTGGCGGAAGCCCGGGGCATGGAGGAGCGGAGGGGCCGATGTCGATACGTCGATACCCGCCATGGCGCCAAAACGCCATGTTTTTGAGATTAGTTGAGGTAGGGACAATCAAGGCAATAGGGGCCCAATGTCTGGTTTCAGCAAGGCAAATCTGTGTTTTCAGAAACTATTTGATAGGCCCAGTTCTTACTCCGAGAAACAACTCATCACTTATGGATCTTTTCGGCTTCCCTAAAGGGCTGCGGAAAGCCCCCGTCCAGCCGATCCCCCCCGGCCAGGGCTTCTTGAAAGAGCCCCCGGAGATCGTCATCGCGGCGCCGGCCTGTTGGTTTGAACAGCCCGCCGGATGGTGGTTGTTGTGGTGCCGAACTGCCGGAGGTCTCCTCTAATGTTCGTTTTTGAGGGTACCTATCCCCCGCAAAGGTATGACAAAGCACGTACCAGTTGCGGGAGTGCCCTGGAATAGAGAACCTCCTTTTGTCTCTTGGATGCCAAGAATGAAGCCTGAAAGAAGCCCATGCCAAAGTTTGTGCGCGATTTATGCGACTCGACCAAAGTCGTCTTTTTCTGGCAAGTGTGTGTTTCTGTTTGTGTGTGCGGATTTGTGCGCATTTGTGTATGTCTTTGTACGTATGTGCGTGTTGGTTTCTTCGCTCGCTGGCTCCCTTGTTGGTTTGCTTGCTTGCTTGCTTGCTTGCTTGCTTGCTTGCTTGCTTGGTTGCTTGCTTGGTTGGTTGGTTGGTTGGTTGGTTGGTTGATTGGCTCGTTTGTTGGTTTGCTTGCTTGCTTGCTTGCTTGGTTGGTTGGTTGGTTGGTTGGTTGGTTGGTTGGTTGGTTGGCTCGTTTGTTGGTTTACTTGCTTGCTTGGTTGGTTGGTTGGTTGGTTGGTTGGTTGGTTGCTCGTTTGTTGGTTTGCTTGCTTGTTTGCTTGCTTGCTTGCCTGCTTGCTTGCTTTCTTGTTTTCTTGCTTTCTTGCTTCCTTGCTTCCTTGCTTTCTTGCTTTCTTGCTTGCTTGCTTTCTTGCTTTCTTGCTCTCTTGCTTTCTTGCTTTCTTGCTTCCTTGCTTCCTTGCTTCCTTGCTTGCTCGCTTTCTTTCTGTCTTTCTTTCTTACTTTCTTGCTTGTGCTTGCTCGCATGCTTGCTTGTTAGTGTTTGCTTTTTTTTGCTTGTGTTGTTTTTTCTTTTGTCTTTCTTTATTTGCTGTTTGTTTGATTGATTATTTGATTGTTTGTCTGTCTGTCTGTCTGTTTGTTTGTCTGTCTGTCTGCCTGCTTGCCTGCCTGCCTGCCTGCCTGTCTGTTTGTTTGTTTGTTTGTTTGTTTGCTTGCTTGTCTGTCTGTCTGTCTGTTTGTTTGTTTGTTTGTTTGCTTGCTTGCTTGTCTGTCTGTCTGTCTGTCTGTCTGTCTGTCTGTCTCTGTCTGTCTGCCTGCCTGCCTGTCCGCCTGCCTGTCCGCCTGCCTGTCTGCCTGCCTGCCTGCCTGCCTGTCTGTTTGTTTGTTTGCTGTCTGTCTGTCTGTCTGCCTGCCTGTCTGTCTCTTTCTGTCTGTCTGCCTGCCTGCCTGTCTGTCTGTTTGTTAGACGTGTGTTTTTGGTGTGTGTGTGTGCTTATGCCCATGTTTGCTTTTGCGTTGTTTCTCTCTTTTCGTTTCGCCTTTACTTTTTTTGGTTGCTTTGGTTGGTTGGTTGGCTTGGTGTTGTTCACTTTGCGGATGCTGGACTTGACAGGACGGGCTCCTTGGAGAGGACGGCTCTGCGCGTATCGCTGCCCGGGCCCCGGTGCGGCAACCAAACCCGGGAGTGCGGATGGCCTACAAAGTGGAACCCTGGAATCCACAGTTCTAATTCTGTCTGCTTTCTGGCGAATTATTGCGTGGATCCGAAAAGTTAGCGAAAGTTACGAGGCTGAATTGCCTGGCCTTTCTTGGGGGTTGTGTTACGGGAATTTTCGCTTCTAGACAACCCTTTGGAGCCCTACGTGCACAAAGGTGTGAGCGCCGCTTTTGAACGGAACCTGTGGGCCTTGGGGTTGCCAGCCTACCTTGTGCCTTGCGCATAGGCGTTGGACGAGTCTGAGGGCGTGCGGTGCCCAGAGCTGGTCGCTGCGAAGCTGCTCCCTGAGCTCCTGGACTTGATGTGCTTTTTGGGAAGGCCCTTTTTTTGAATCAAGCGGAGACCGGTTCCGTTTCTAGGGGTTCCGTATTCAAGGAGCTTATGTCAGACCGCGATATTCGACCTCATGCCACTACCCCCAAGGCAGAATGGGGCCAAACACTAGTGTTGGTATAACGGTTTTATGCCCCCATTATGCCTTGGGGGTAGTGGTCTGGCATGAGGTCGAAAATCGGGGACTGACATAAGCTTCTTGAAAGGTGGGTCCTTGGCCACCAACTGAACATGGGCTAATTCCAAATTCTCAACGGAAGTTGAACCTCTGGAATACATCCAAACCGTCATCTGAAACCCCTAAAGCCGTAGAGCTTTCCCATATTCGGGGTGTCTTTTGTAGGGCACCCCTTTTGGAACTCTTTTAAAGGGAAACCAAAGGACGACCACCATTTTGGGGGTGCTCGGTCCCCACGCCCAGTCTGGCTCTTCACACCCACAAGGTAGGATAACCAGCAATGGGCATTTGACTATGGTTTGATCGAGACACTTTGGGATACGTGCCGCTTGTATGTGCTTTTTGTTTTTTGAAGCACATGTTTTCGAGGTTGGTGGCCATGGCCTATTTGATTCAGAGGTTCGAAGCTGGGCAGCTGGCAAGAAACGACGTTCATGCCAAAGTATCAGCTGCGTGAAAGTATCTGCTTGGCAGCGAAGGACAGCCACAGCCGTTGTGCAAGGCCGGGGCTGGGGCCAGAGGGCTTTCCCAAGAGTCACGGACACATGAAGGTGTGGCGTGACTGGCAAGCCCAGGGTGGCGGATTGGCTCATGACCAGACGGAAGCGGAGAACTGGGGCCGCGCCTGGGGCAACCCAGCCGCTGTGGGTCTGTGAAACACGAAGGCCGGCCGTGGTTGGGAAGATCATCCTATGACCTAAAGAGTGATCTGACCGCTTCCCGGCCAAGGTCCAAAACCCGGGGCCCGAGTAGCATTTAGAGTCGTTTGGGTCATTTTAGTGGTGCAAGAACACCCCAAAAAAACCTGGCCAAATGAGCGGTGTTCTTTTGGCTTCGACCAACCCCGAAAACGCCTTCTACAGGCCCAATCGGGATTGATTGCAAAAGGTCACAAGCCTCGCCGCTTTGGCAACTGTAGGCGCTGAAGCGCCTGGACGGTTTGTTGGGCACCTTCGCCTCCGGCCTTGCGGCCTGCGACTCCGCCGCGGGCCCCAGAGCGGTTTGGAGGGTCGGGCCTCCTTGGAGCCCCGCAAAAGGCCGCCCTGTCCCAAAAAAAGGGGCCCACAAAGGGAGAGCTGAAAAGGCCGAACCTCTCCTCACTCGCAACAACCTATTGCTCATGAAGCGAACTGGGTAAAGCAAACTCGGTTGCTCTTTGGTTGGTTCAACCTTGTTGGGATATAATAGCACCACAGTTGTCCCAACCACTAACCAGCAGCACCAAGGGGCGCGCAACCTGTTGCAAAGTGAAACTAAAAGGGGAAACCATCCACTTTGGGCGTGTGACTCCTTCGAAGACCACCCCGCACGTTTTGGCGTCCGGTTTGACCCACAAAAGCCGTACCAACCACCGTTTTTTCGTGTCAAGAGGGAAACCACACTTTTGGGGGCCTTCCTGCTTAAAGACACACCCATATGGATTGTCCATCCCCGAGCAAGGTTTTTCTGAAGAACCTACAGCGGTGCTTTTCCCCTGGCAAGGCGTCGTGACCGTGTGTTTTGCACAGGCCGGCGAGGTGGGTGTGCGGGACGCTGAGCGCAGCCCTGTGCTCTTGCACGAGGCACATCTAATGGGATGCGCAGCCCAGCTGGGAGTCATTTGCTTTCAGTGGTTTCCCACAATTATCCATAAATGGGAAAACGTGGCTTGGACCTGTGAAGTCTAAAAGTGGCTGATTTCCGTCTTGGTCCATGTTGCTGTTGCTGCATCACAAGCAAGACTAGCCAAAACGGCCCCAGTTTGTGGTTCTATACCCCTTTGTGGTAGTGAAAGCCTATCTTGGACCAGCTGCTAAGATGATTGGCTCTGGGCCTACAGTAAAGGGTGCTCCGGACAAGTACCTTTCAGGGCCTAGTTGGAACGGGGAATGGGACCTTACGCAATGAATGCCATTGTTAGAGAGTAATATGTGTGTGTGTGTGTGTGCAGCTATGTAGCCCCTTGTGAATTCCGCACCACTTCTCATCGTTGATCTGTGATACAATGGTTGTCCACAACCCCCTCGAAAAAGGTTGATGTCCATGCCTGCTAACCCCAAGTAAAGTGAAGCGGTCGCTTGACCATGGCACACTGATCCAGAGCAGCAAGTTGAGGGCCCTGGCGTTCCCATGGCTCCCTGTGGCTCTCAAGCAGGTTCTGCCAGGTTTTGGCCCTTCCTCTCCTGGCTTTGTCCAGCTTACTGAATGAGTCTCGGAATGCCCTGCAAGAATGGGCGCTGGTTTCAATCGCAATTTCCCACTTTTGGGTGGGGATAGTCATGTTGCAGGACCAAGTTCTGATGAGGTCTCCACTAGTCAACAATGGAACAGAAATGTTGCTATAGGCTTAGCCGGGTAATTGGAGGTTCGGGTCATTCCCAACCAAAAGTGTATCAGCGACCGCACAGACTTGATTTCTTGCGGCTCCCCCCCTACTCCAAAAGCCCGTATATTGTTGTATGTTGTATTTTTGTGAAAACCGGGGTTTTCCGACGTATACTTGGGGCCCTCGTTTTGGTGCCTTCGGGTGGGAGGGTTGGCATGCCCCCAGCCATCACACTTCTCCCCGCGAATTCAGAGAAGGAACCCCGATTTTGAAAGTGCCCTCCGTAGACGGGAGGAATCTCCTGGCGCTTGGGGTTCTGGATTCCGTGAATTTGCGCGGAACTTTAGGGTTTGTGTGGAGGTAGCCCATGTGGTACACACACACACACACACTTGGACCAGGGGCTCGGTGACGACACCCGCGATTGCCGCCCACAGAAAGTGCCTTTTGTCCTTTGGTCCCAGCCATACTCTTGCGGCTTTTAGACTTTTAGAGTTTAGCAAAGATTTCTTTCTGACATATCCCACAAGTTCAGCTTTGCACATCGATGAACCGCCTACCACTTGCATCGCACCTTCGGATTTCCAGCTTCCGATTTCCAGGCCAGCATGGCAGACCACGAATACCCAGCCATCACTGAGGCCTTGCCGGGCAGAGTCTGTGGTGGGCAGGTATTCACACCCCAAAGAAGGATCCATTTTTGGGATGTCGCAACAGGCAGACTCCCAAAAACGGGTGGGTTTCCAGTTGACTTCCCTTGGAACCAGCACCCTCGCACACACACACACATACGCATACGCATGTATGGGTTTCTGGCCGTATGTGACACTGTCTAAACTTGTACGGAGGATGCCCTGAGTCTCTGAGTATTTCAATGGGAACAAGGAAGCCCTCAACTTTGTTGCAAGTTGCCGTGGCTTCGCGGTTGAATATGGTTGGTGGAGTTTGTGGCTGCTTTCTGCTCTCAGGGACGACTATTTGACTTGAAGCCAGGGTTGGTTGCACAAATGGTTTGTTTGACAACCGGCCCGCGGCCCCTGTCAAGGGGGCTAAAAGGCACTTGTTGAAGGGTTGTTTTTTGTGGTTAAAGGGAAACTAGCAGGTAAACCACTTTTTTTTGTGGGGGGGGTTCCCCAAAAGAAGACACTCCCGAAAGGAGCGTTTAAGCATGTTTACACGGTTGGATCCAAGTAGATGGGTGCCCAGAACCTGCCCCCAAGTAGGTTTTGTCATCCTCCGGACATGAAGGGAATAGTGGTCTCTATTTTCACTCTGTTTGAAAACACTTGGGTTGACATCTCTGCTCCAAGGGAATGGTCCCCTTGTGCCTTTAACTGCGGTTGAATCACCCAATTACTGGGGTATCCTTCAAAACTGAATATTGCATGTTTCAGGGCAGACTAAATATCAAGCAGAGTCTGAGCTTCTGAACATGTCATTTACTGTGTACTCCATTGGTGTGTGGTGCATACCAGCCTGGGTTTCATACTTCTCAACTGATGCCGATCAGCGCGGATTTGGTGTACGGAAAACGTTGCCAGGTGGAGGCGGAGGCATGGTTGCCAATCTTCCTAAGGCGCGTGCAGTTGCGTTGTTTTTGGTTTCTTTCGCTTGCGGGGAGAGAGGCTTTGGGATGGTTTCAAGCGCCCATGCAGTGACATTTCCAGTTTTTTGTTTTCCTTGGAGCCGCAAATTCTACAGATCTCCTTTAAAAGATTTCATTTGCCCTCAAGTTTGATATGGTGGTGATCCCTGGCACACTTGCGAAGCCCCTGGTGGAAGTCGCTATTGGCTGATAGGAACGAATTCCTTCTTGTGAGGTGAGCAGTAGGAGCAAGAAGCACTTTTTGGCAAGGATTCAAGAATTGTGCGAGTGAATTCGTGAAGGCCCCTTTCATCGACACCTGGTCTTTTTTCTCAGCCTTTCCCCGGATCAGCGCGCGTACCAGCAGTTGGCCACAGGAGTTCCATGGAGAATCCGCCGCAAAGAGACAAAGCGCATTGTTGCGGATGCCCTTTCCAGGATTTGTTCGAAGCCGATTCAGATGCAGTTTTACTTGGCCAAGGGCTGGGGCGCCGATTTTCGTTTGCAAGGCAAGTCCCAAGTGGGGCGTGCAGAATGAATTGGCACACATCCCCTTCAACAGTGAGTTTGCTTGTGGCCAGTACGAGGAAAGACGATACACCCCGGCCACTTCGAGGAAAAAGATCCCCTGTGGACATGTGGAAGATTGGAATTCCAGTTTGATTCGTATCTATGAAACCCACATGACAAAGGTTTGAAGAATGCAACCTGCTAGACCCTGCCTCGTCAGGGCGCTTGTTTTTCCTAGAACCAAAAGGAATCCATCCAAGGGGTTGTCCAGTTAAGGTTTGTTCAAGAAAGGAATACTCCGCGAAACCCAGGGGAAAAGGTGGGGTTGGGATGCGCCAAATGTCAGGGTAGTCTTAATGTATGGCACGTCCAGTGAGGATTCTATTGGTCGCCACCAAACGGAATACAACCCGGGGGTTCCTTTGAGGTGATGTGACCCCCTTGCTTAGATCCACTTGGAAGAACCATACATTGAACCTTGCGTCCAACACAGCCCCGGGATTTGATACATTGAAATAGGCCTACGTTTTGTTTTGTCCTGAGATACGACAATGCATCCTGGAGTTCTCCTTCAAGCCAAAAGGGGTGTCCCATTTTTTCCATGTATGGCATACTTTTCTTGACTCTTCTTGGCACTTTTTTTTGGTCGTGTTCATATTCTTAGGCGCGGGCGCCAAGGACATCCAGGTGTTTGCTCATTTGTGAGGGGTTGGGAGGTGTTTGTGCACATGTGCACACCAAACGGGCAATCGCATGAGGTACCATTCTGAAGGGTCTGTTCGATTCCAGTGGGCATGCGACCCGAAGTCGGTGCCGAGTTTGCGTTTGCAGCCAAAGTCATTGGCGGGAAATGTTTGTGACACAGAAAGGATCAGTGGACTTCAGCAAGCAGAAAATCAACCCCAAGCAGATCGCAAAAGCTGACTAGCTCTAACCTCGCTAAGATGTAGTCGTGATTGCCAAGGTTTCCGGGTGTCTTTTTGTTATTTGTCTGTGTGTGTGTGTGTCGTTTTTAGAGGACCCCCGAACAAAATGGGGGGTTGGTTTCCCTGTGGTTTCCCCCTAAGACCACTCCAAGAGGACGAGCATGGACGAGCCACCGAGCCACCCATTTGGTTCCCCGTGGCTCCCGAACACCTGGCACTTCCGCCAGGCAGCGGTTGATGCTCATTCTCTTCCTAGGGCCCGGCCGAGGCGCGCGTTTGGCGCGCGGCAAACCGGGGGCCTTTCGGGGTTAACAGATGGGCGTGTCCTGTTTTTAGGGGGACTCCTCAAATGGTGGGCTTCCTCTTGGTTTCAATTTAAAGCCACCAAGAAAGGGGTAATAACCCCCAAAAAGGACACACCCAAATGCCTGGAGTCTCCGAAGCTAATTATTGTGTACAGGGTAGAGCAAACGTGAAACATCATCTGAACATGTTGCTTTCTCTGTACCCTTTTTTGCCGGCCAAGTTGGAGTTTAAGGTTTTCAGAGCATGGACCATACACCATACATCTCTTTGCGTGGTCTTGCATTTCTTTTGTCCCTCACAAGTGGGGTTTGGATGACTTGCGGCAACCGCACAGTTCAAGTTGCTTCCCTAGAACCTGTTTTCCTGAGTGCCTGCCTGGATCCTCTTTTCCTTTGCTCCCAAGAACCTGGTACATCTCTGTTTGTTTGTTTGTTTGTTTGCTTGTTTGTTTGTTTGTTTGTTTGTTTGTTTCTTGTTTGTTTGTTTGTTTGTTGTTTGTTTGCTTGCTTGCTTGCTTGCTTTTGCTAGCGGACCAGAAACCGTGCTCAACGGCGTGCACTTTGTTCCTGCAACCCTGCATAGCACGTCCGCACCACTGCATCGCCCAGGCACTGCGTGCACGCCTGACCATGACAACCGCACCCGCTCGACTGCTTCGTTGTAGCACGCCTGACCATGGTATGTGCTTCGTTTCAACACTGCGCGCACGCCTGACCATGGTAAGCGCACCCGCCCGACTGCAGTGTTACAACACTGCGCGCACGCCTGACCATGGTAAGCGCACCCGCCCGCCTGCTGCGTTCTAACACTGCGCGCGCGCGCCTGTCGTGATAAGCACACCCGACCGATTGCTGCGTTATAACACTGCGCGCGCGCCTGGCCATGGTAAGCACACCCGCCCGACTGCCGCGTTATAACACTGCGCGCAAGACGAACAATGGTAAGCGCACCCGCCCGACTGCTGGGTTATTGCACTGCGCGCACGCCTGTCCATGGTAAGCGCCCTCGCCCGACTGCCGCGTTCTCACACTGCGCGCGCGCCTGACCATGGTAAGCGCATAACGCAGCACTGCGCGCACGCCTGACGATGGTACGCACACCCGCTCGACTGCTGCGTTATAACACTGCGTGCACGCCTGACAATGGCAAGCGCACCCGCTCGACTGCTTCGTTATAGCACGCCTGACCAAAGCTGTTTTTTCACGAACGCGAACAGGTCGTCTGCCACATTGGCGCGATAGACTCTACTTGGTCAAGCTGCAAAGCATGTCCCGAATTTGCTGCCTTCGTGCAGCCCGCATCTCCTCTTGTATGTAAAGTCTTGGCAGTGGCGCTATGTCTCGCCAGCGAGATGTGGAGCAGCGAACAGTCGTAGCGATCGCACAGATGTAAAAAAGGAGAAGGCAGGGAATGGGAGATACAATTTGCGTTTCGCCTCAGCGAAACGCAAAACGCCTCTAAAACAGAGCCCCCTTTTTGGGGAGGTTTTGGGGGACTCAATGTGCGTTCGCTGGCAAAACGCGAGCGCCGATTTCGGTCCGCCGGGTTGTTTTTGCATTTTGAGACTTATACTACTACGCATGCACTAAGTTAGACATCTTGTGTTTGGTGCGGAGGTTGGTCGAATTCTGTTCACCGAATTCAATGAGCAATGCACCATTTTCCCATGGAAGCAGTATGTCATGCAAGATTTTCATGTTGCGACCGAGCGGAAAGAAGCACAGAAAGCGACAAGGAGCCCCCAAAAACGTCCATGGTCCTGCGAGGTGTGCGAGAACCCCCTCCCACAGCACAGGTTGCTTGGAGATGGTCCCAAAGTCCCAAACCACACCTTCACTGGAGCCGGCCGGTACCATTTCTTGTTTGATTTGTGTTATTTTCCACAGATGTTATTCCCTAGTTGGAAGCTTTGGGTCTTTGCCAGTTGTTGGGTTCCCGAGTGGTTCGGAGCGGCTCCAGGCACTTTCGGGTTCTGGAAGGGTTCCGGAAGAGTTCCAGCAGAGTTGCTGTTGGGTCCCGACTTTGTTCAACCTTATTGTGCAACGGCCCACTTCCAGCCTTTACATCGAGTCAAGGCAAGCCCTTAGGTGCAAACATATGCGCTTGCCCCTGCAGCAGAAACTGATTTGGGTTGGACAACAGGGCCCCCAGGACTTTTTGCTCAGCTCGTCCAACAGCAACTGTACCACCGGAACCCACGTCAAAGGGGGCCATTCCAGTGTCGTAGTGGCTCAGAAGTCGGTTTTCACTGGCCAATGAGGGTGCCTGGCTGACACAAGGCGTTCGCTTTGGCCAAAAGGGCGACCTCTTTGCGCAGGTTCCAAAAAGGGGAGCCATGACCATGACCATGACTGTCACAATCCCTGCGGTCCTATTTGCATACCCCTCCTTGGACATGCGGGTCCAACTGTAGGATAGTCGGATAGACAAATTCGGCTGTGTCATCTTCTTGCACTTGCTTAGTGCGTTTTTTGTTTTTGCCGGCCCTTGCCAGTTAGTTATTCAGAAACAAGCGCCGTGACAAGTAACGCCCTTAAACAAGGGTTGGTGTTTATTTAGAAAACCAGGCATTTTGAGGCTACCCCCTTTGACGCACATGGGCCCGTGCCATGTGTCTTGGGCACAGGCACGTTGGAGCTCCAGCCCTATGATGAGGAGGGCTGCCCAATGCGCGTGGCCACGGAGCCCGGGCGCCGAACATGGGTTCAGCCTATGGGCTGACCTGTCGTTTTAAGGTTGCAGCCTTTGAAAGGAACCCTTTTTTCAAGGCTGGATTAAAGAGAAATCAAGTGGACAATTCCGAAATCCAGTTTACGGGTACGAGGTCGTATGTCGCTTGTTGATGAAGCTGATGATTTGATTCAGGACTATGTAAGACGATACCAAAAAGTCGGTGGACAAAATCCCTCAGAGAAGCCGGGGGGCGGGGTTGGGAGGAGGGGTAGGGCGAATCCATTTTTTGTCAACCGCGAGGATTCCAGATGTCCAGGGGTTGATCTGTTTTCAACAGAGAAGCCAAGTTGCGAGAAGTTGACCTTGATGTTTGATCTTTTCAATTCTTTGGTTCGATCACCACTGCTCTTCCGGTCTTGCTGGTTCTGTGGAAAAACAGTTCAACATTTGGCAAGGCTTCAGCTGCATGATGTGATTTTGCGATCTCAATTAGATCCTGGCAAAAGTCGGCCCGCAGTGAGAGGTCACAGAAAGTGCCGCGAAAAGGGATAAAGTCCTGAAATCCGAAGCCTCTCAAATTGACGTGATGTCATAGTTTTTAGGTTCACCAAGTTTGCGGCAGACTCTAAACGTGCTTTGTTTTAGTGCTTTGTTGTTGTTTTTGGGGAGTACCCTTTTCAGGTTGAAATCGAAGGACAACCGAAATCCATTTTGTGCCCCGGTCCAAATCCCTATTTTGAGCAATACCCATTTCGAGCTGGGAACAGGCTGAGGGCGGGATCTGAAGCCAAAAGGACAAGCACCACCTGGGGTCCATTATTTGAGAACCCAAAATAATGTCCCCTTTTCGGACGGATCACACTGATGTCTGTCCTTTCAGAAGGGGCCTGACATGGTGCATTTGAATTGGGCCCGGTTCAGCATTTGTAGGGGCCCTGAACCAACGTACTTGGGTCACTGAGTCGAGGGGTTCGGTTATAATCCACTGGAACTGTCGACAATGGATATTGCGGGTTGTGATTTAAGAGCGACCAATGATTTACTGAGCGACCTGTCCTTCCAAGTAAGCTTGGCCTTGTTTGCCCAAGCACCCATAGCTTCACTGTTTTTGGCACGTATGTTGACCGTGTTTGCTTCCTTGGTTCAGTTTGGTTGAAGAGGGAGGCTACATAGTTCGTTGTTCGCTAACATAGCATTCCAGAAGGACCACCGGAAGTGCCTGAAATCCCTCAAGATGTCCGGCACTTCAACTTGGCTTCCCTCAAGTTTTGGCACCTATGTAGGCCTCTGATTGACTTTTACAGTCCTACAGACCTTTGCGAGCAATGTGTGATCGACGCACCCTTTTAGGACAGTTTGAGCCTTCCAAGGCAACATGAGGCGGAACCCCCTGGGTTGCCGACGTTGCCCATCAGCCAAGGTGCTGGAGCATCACCCGAAATCTAAAACCAAATCGGGTTGTCCCTGTGAGTTACTTTCTCACGTTCCAGGGGATTCCCTTGGTATTACAGAGAAAAAGGCCTGACACCACATTGCCGACAACCATGCACAAAAGAGGGTTGAAAGGTATTACCTAGCTGGAAATCATGAAGCTCGGCCCCCTTGGTCAATCCATGCGCCTAAACTTAAGGTATTCCTTCTATAAAGGGCAAACATGAAAGATGGTACCAAATCTTGGACCAGTTGCATTATGTTCCATCCACCAATACTTCCCTGGTTTCAAAATCATCTTTGTTTGTTTGCTTGTGTTTCCTCAGCGGTCTTCACTATATTCCAGCTTTCGGGCCATTCCCCGTAACTCCGGGGGACATGTCAATCATTTCTTAAGAGGCATGTCGGGAACCCTAACCCCTGGACCTGGGTCAGATCGAGCCGGCCGTCCGAGGCCCGGGATGCTGTGCGCGGTCCGCGCCGATCTCTTGTGGCGGAGGCGGGTTCCGCTTCCTGAGATCCACCTAGACCTCGCGTGGGGCGTTTTTTCCCCAACAGCTGAAAGCTTTGGGGTCTCAGCCCAGATAGGCTCCGGGGTCGTGCGGGGCGGCCCTGAGGTAAGGTTCCACGAGGGTTCCACCAGGGTTCCACCACATGCTCTTGGGGATATCACCTGAGCTTATTTTCATTTTTCGGTGTGGGGGGGGGTGGTTTGGGCCATGTAAAGTGCACCGAGCAAGGGTGCCCTTTCTTCTTGGCCAGAGGCGAACCCCAGAAAAGGGATCCTTTAACATCAACTTCCAAAGGGTGGCAATTCTTTTTCTGTCACGGTCACTGGTTGCAAGATGGGTTTGGCTTTGCGGGTTGGTACCCTTTCTTGAGTTGTTGCAAAAGGGCGACTATCCGGGCATCCAGTGATGACTTTTTCCTTCCCTTGTAAGGTCCCCTTGTTGAAACAACAACTACCAAGGTGCCCTTTTATTCTCACGGCACGTTGGGTCACGGCAATAGTCACCAACCCCATGAGTTTGCAATCCCCCTTGTGCAGCCCCCACTGACGCCTCCCTTCTGGAACCACATCTTCAAAGAGACTTGTCAAGGCTTAGCCAAGACAAGTCCAAACAAACCCTCGCTCGAAACAATCTGCAGCAATCACTAAATCAAGGCAATCTGACCCAGACTTACAATTACACGAACCAATCTCAACCAAGCCTAAACCTAACTATCTCGGCCAAGAGCCAATAGTTTCCATAGCTGGACCAAACTACAGACAACCATAAATCAATCTGAACCAAGAACAAAGTCCTAGCCATCCATAAACCAATCTGAACCAAAGAAAAGGCATACCAATCTTAGCCAAGACTGCGCCAACACCAATTTTAACCGACACAGCCACGCACTGAACGCAGCCAGACTGATCCAAGGCTAAACAAATGAGATCGGTTTGGTTTAGTCAACGTTAAGATTGGTGTCGGTTTAGGCTTGCTTTGTTGGGCTTGGCATCGTAAACTTTAGTGGTCTTGGTTGCGACTGGTTGTCGGTAAAGAGGAGTTCGTTTCAGTGCTGAGGGCAGTCTGACTGACGGACATGGATGCCAGCTTCCCTTTGCAGATCTTCAGTCGTGCAAGTTTTCCCCTTCTTTTGGAGGGGGTTTCCCTCGAAATCAACAACCAAGCAACAAGTGCCCTTTTGTCCTATGGAAATCCACTCGGACCCGGTCTGGGAAACTGGCTCTTTGGCTCCTGGGGACTTCAGCAAGAGGCACAACGATCTTTAGGCCCGCCAGCCAGCTTCCATCCACGTTGGAGGGTGGATTTATGGCATATCCAACCAAACGTGTGTGTCTGTGTGTGTCTGTGTGTGTCTGTGTGTGTCTGTGTGTGTCCGTGTGTGTGTGTTTTTTGCAAAGGAACTATGGGAACTATGGGAAGGCCTTAACGGGTTTCTGTTGTTTTTCTGTTTTGGCTTCGGCTTCCGAAAGGTTCAGCTGCGCTCCCGGAGTTCACAGCTACGCGCTGAGCTGCTTCCTGCTTAGGACCGAGCCTTCGCACTCGCATCGATCGATGGGATCGCCAGATCAGACTTGGAGCCAAACGTTTTGCCGGTGTCAAGGCTCCAGGCTGACCTTTGCATTTGCAGGTGTCATTCTGGGCGAACGAAACGGTTCGTCCTATCCTGGGCAGGTTGTAATGGGCTCTGGGAGTAAAACGAGCGATTTGTCCAGGATGCAAGGATGAAGGTTCCGTATTTGGGGATTCCCTACTCGTCATTCGCCCAGATGGCTGTCACACACCTCCCAGACTTTCTGTATCGAAGCTCGCCCAAGCCCAAGAGGTTGAGAGGACTGGACATCTCCATGGCAGTCCCCTTAAGAACGCTGGCCTCCAATTCCAGGGGGAGAAAGGGCGCTCGAGCTTTGGTCGACTGGTCGACTTGAAAGGGAGCTGCCTCGGTGGATTTGGGAAACACGGGGCACCTTTCTTTGGTCAACTTTAGAGGGAACCACCCTCCAAGTTATGTAAGTTGCTGGGGGGAAGATAAAGAGAGATGACCTTCCAGCCGATTCCTAAAGGCAGTGATCTGGAAATCGTAGGCGTGGAGCCAAACTTTACTTTCGCTGGTACGCGTTTCATGGGTTGGGTATATGTTTCTGTTCGTGTTGTGAGAGGGGCTGCCAAAAGCAGTTTGTTGCATAAAGGTTGGAACCCGCTGAACCTTGTGGACCCAAAAGGTCGACTCTCCAAAATGTGATGTGTCTTCCATGGGAACCCACCATGGAGCCCACCATTGATCAACTTTCACAAGGCTAGTTCCAGTGACCACTGAAAATGGACACTTGAACATGAATAGCGTGAAAAAGGAGAAGGTCCAAATAGCCCTTATTCGAAAAACAAAATAACTTAGCGCCTATTGGCGAGAGAAGCATTATAGGGTCGGCCGTCAGGGATCGGTGTGGTTCTGGGGTGTATTGATTTGGTCTTCGAGTGGACACGCAGAGCTCTCATTGAAACCGACACACCCAGGGTTAAGATAGATGCGGGGCCCTCAAAATGCCAAATTGACGACCCACAGGTCTCTTCGGGTGGTGGAGTCAGGATCCCTGCCTCCTCCGTATTTTGGCCCCACCCTTAAGAACGCGGCGAGCTGCTGGCCCTTTCCCTTTCCATTTCTCGGCATGGGCTGGGGAAGGTCAATGAACATTTGACAAGAATGTGTGTACGAGGACAGTCGCAACCAGAAGTAGAAGTGACTGGTTTCCGCTCTTGAAATGATGCACATGGTTTGAGCAGACTTGTCGGTTTCATTGCAAGACTCATTAGACTTCCATGCTGCCGCTGAAAAGCTGCTCCTTGTAAAGGGGCTCGATCCCTTCGTAGCAGATGATCGCCGGTGCCGACTGATTGCAACGCCACAGGATTCCAACTGTTCTTGAACAGCACCCTGTTTACAGGAATTTCACTTGAAATGTGCCAGTCCAAAACATTGCCACACTCAAGTACCAATTTTGTCCTTTTGCCCTTGCGTCCTTTGCAATTTTGCCCTTTTGTGTGTTCTTCATTTTCCTTTTGGCTCTCTAAGAATGGGGGGACCACCAAAAGTGTGGTTTTCCCTTTAAGGCATCCCTTTTTGAAAGCCCAAGAAAGCTACCCTCGAAAAAGACGAGCCATCCTTTTGACCAGCCAGCAGGGTCTAACTCTGGCCCTGAGCCAGGAGAGAGGGCGCTGCTGCTGGCGACATTGCGAGGAGCCACGACAAACGGGGGCAACGTCAAAAGAGGACACCCTCATGTGTTTCCTGGTTGGGAGTGGGGACTTGTTCGATGTATTCCGGACCATGGTGTTCAGTTTGGCTCTATTCGTTTAGCAGTGCTACATATTTTCCCTAGGATTCCCAAGGCAAGTTCTCTGAATGAATACCCACTTCCGAGGCGCAACGCCTCCCCTTTTGGGGATCCATTCCGTCAGCCGGTGGGCTGGCCTCGGTGATATCCGTATGGCAGGTAGGGATCAAGTAACAAGGCCATACCCGTCGACGTTTTTACTTTTAAGCTTTTGGAGTTTAAACTAGAGGTATTTATTTCCGCCACATCCCGCTAAAACATCAACTTTGTAGCAAGGGAGCAAGGAACCACTCGGTTTCCAACGCGTCACTCAATGATTCAGTCCAGGACGCCAGTGGCGGAGCGCTTGGACACCTGGCTGTTGCGGCGCATTGAGGCGTGGAAGGTTCTGAGAAAAGTTGTCCCTTTGCCCAGCCACGTTAAGCATCCCAGTTTGCGCTTTGGTGCTGACCGGCTGACTGGCGGTATGGTAGCTGTTGACTTACGAAACAACTTGAAAAGGGGCTCAAACAAGACAACAGCCTCATGTGTTACCCTTCCATGATTTGCCAATGAAGTGTAGTATCAGGAAAAGACCCGCAAGTCCGCAAAATGAATATAGGTGCAGTGAACCTCCTGGATTCAGCGAAAGCGGACTTTCCGTGTTTCCCCTTCAGGTTCAGTCATGGGTGTGTCTTTTGAGTGTACCTTTTTTAGATGGCATTGTTGGGCAACTGAAAGGAAACCACACATGTTGGGGGGGTTCCCCTATTTTGAGGCAAGCCCTGATTTAGAGGCCGAGGCGTGATGCCTGTGCCCTTTCATCACCCCAACCAGAGCAAGCGGATGCCAATGCCGGAACAGGCTGTTGCCGCCAAGGGAGCGCGGCCCGTTTCCTTGGGCATGTCCTTTCTATTTGCCTGGGTCTTGAAGGAGCAAAGGAACCCGCGCGTGGGCGAATCATAGGTTCCCCCGAAACGGAGGGGGCCCATACTCCGCTTGGGGCTTTGCCTCGGATTTCAACCCGGCTCGTCCGGCTCTTAGTCATGAAACGGAACCCAGCAGAGTTCCTTGAACATCAGAGTGGGTTCGCGGTCCAGAGGGTTCCATTCTTGCGAACGGGGGCTGAAATCCAAGCTGGCTTGCGTGCTCTGAAAAACTCATGGGTTTCTGCGTGCTTTTTGGGAAACTGCCAAACAGGGACGCCTGGTGGGTTGAGTTCCTCTATCGCCTATCGCCCATCGCCTGGGAGCTTTCGAGTATCATTTTACATCGAGCAGATGTGCCGCTTTGGGATTGTTTCAGTGAACCGGGACAAGGTTCTGGATAGGTTTTGGTCAGAATTGTGTCCTTGCTGTCTTGAAAAAAAACCTGCTAGCTAAGCGCAATATTATTTGTTCGACATGACCCATTTCCCAGTTGGTTGTACCTCCGCATGTCCATGACTGGCTAAACAAGAACTGCTCTTGACACCCGAAACGCAGCTAGACGCACCATATCTCATTTGGCCATGAATATGTCTTGGCGAATCTTCAGAGCGGTGGACATGAGTTCCCACCGAAAGGATGTCCACCAAGGGGTCGGGGACCCAAAGTTCACGGCCAGCCTTGCGAACTCCTGGGCCCCCGAATACCATTCGGGGTAGTCATTTTTTGAGGGTACCCCCCTTTGCTTCTCAAGGGGGGTGAAAAGGAGGGAGCTGAGCAACTTCTTTGACTGAAGTCATGCCCAAGCTGCGCAGGCGCTGGCTGAGAAGGGCAACGACCCTAGGCGGGGGCCGACCTGCGGGCAAAAACGCCCCAGGAGGCCAAACATATAGTAGGGTTCATTTCTGCCCCAGTGAGGTTCCGCTAGGTCCGACCCTTTTTTCCCATTTCCTTTCAAGGAATCCAAACATCAGAAATTGATCATTTCTTTGGATTTGTGACGGTTTCGAATTCCTTAAGCATTCGTTCAGTATCGGCTTAGTATTGGTTGAGTATTGGTGTTGGTTCTATAGTCTCCCTGGTAAGATAAGACTGCAAGTCGGGTCAGCGAGAAGTCGAAGTAAAGCCCCTATCAATGGTGAAGAAACCCCACTACCACTGAAATCACTGGGCAGACCCAGTGTTTCCTTTTTGCAAGACGGCTCCGGAACTGCCCCTCACCGCATCGCAGGTGGCAGTACAGCTTGGATCACATGTATCACAAGGAGGAGCAGCCAGAACCCCAGGCACTGGACAGATGCGACCCTTGAAAGGGAACATCTCGAGGAGCAACCTGGTTTTGGACCCCCTACCTGGTTTTGACACTCTACTTTGATGGCTCGTGTTGGAGACCTCAAAGGTTGAAAGAGGGTCTTGAAACCATGGGCATGAGGCGGTATTTTAATTTCTGCTCAAATATATTCACCTTCAACGAGGAACTTGCTCCCGAGTGCCGTATCCACTGTTTTTTTTACTGTCGCGCAGATTAGTATGGAACGCCAAAATATCATGATGGTTTCGAGAGACCTCGGGTTTTGGGGGACCCCCTTTTTGGGTTCGGCGAAGCCCTGGTGTGGGACATTGGTCCCACTGTGACGCACTCCATCCCCACAGTCAACCGTCCGAATTCAATTCCGAATGAGTTTTGATGAGGGACGCCTTGGTGGACATTGAGGTGGGGATTCATGATTCTTGTCCACCAACGGGCAACTTCGAGCAAACCGACCGGTGGACCTTAGTTTTGGTGGGTTCCCGAGCCATATTGGGCTTCTCATTTTCGAGGGTACCTTTTTGGTGTTATTATAGCGGAAGCCACATGGGAAAAGCACCGATGTCCGGGGTCCCCCATTGGAAGATTCGTTCCGAGGTACGCGGTGCGGGGCCTTGCCAACAAGATCAGTGCCGCTCGGCCAAGACCAAAAGCGTCTCTGGTGCCACTACTCACTCTCTGAAACTCCTGGACGATAAACTTTTTGTGGTAAGAAGTTTGGAGGTGTTTGCCAATCAACTCAAGAAGTCAGCAGGAAGTCAGCAGGTAGCGCAGGGAAGGACGCCATCGTGAAACCTGGATGACCCGGATTGGTATCACGGAAAGAACTCGACAAGATGACAAGATGGACACAAACCAGTGGATAAAGCCCTAAAACATGCAAATCCCACATCCAGGTCTGTAATCCAGACATCTGTTTGTTTCATGAGAACGGTCGATCCGAGGTTAACTGGGACCCGTACTATTTCACCAACGCGCTGCTCTCCGGCTCCGACTTTGTTACAGAGGCGGACTGGGACCCCACGACGGTGTGACGCCAAAATTTGGGGACGGGCCCCGGTGATTTCTAGTCCTTGAAGGATATAGTTGGGCGAGTGGATTGAATACACTTTTGCCAGGCTTAAAGCATCCCCATGGAAATGAGAAAGAAGTGTTGCTGAAGAGAATGGGAAGTATCCCCTGGACAGATGGAAACACCCATTTGATTGATGTAGTAGATCCACAAGGCTATGAAGAAACTGTCTTGTTGCATCTTCTCTCATGCCAACCCCACACAAAAAAAAAGTGGTTTGCTAAAGAGAACGATGGGTGAAGCGGATGGAGGCTCCACCCTGGAAGGGTGATGATCGTTCTTTGGGGCCTCAGGCCATTTGCACCGGGGGGGGGGGGGGATCATGGGGAGATGAGAAGGTGTCTCCACAGTGCTGGGTCTCATTGTTCATGAGTTTTGGTGCCAGGGCGCTGGGTCCAGAGAAGTGTTGAAGCAGTATCATCCGATCTCACCGTTATCACTAACGCCGGCTCCGCCGCGGGGGCGGAAGTTCAATATTAGAAGACCCACTCTGTCTTTCTCTGTCGAGCCCGTGAAACTGAAGAAAACTGAAACATGCTGAACGCAACGAGTGTTTTAGGGTCGACCGGCCGAAAGTCCGCAGAGAGTTCACCTTTTCATGATTCCAAAAAAACCTCAAAAACGAAAAAAAACACAAAATGAAAAAGAACAACACGTGTTTGTTGAGGTCGATTCCCAGAAAGTTCACAGAGGATTGCGCGAGCAAAGTTAAAATCGTTGCAAAAAGGTGTTTTTGAGGGTCGACCCACCCGAAGTGCGAGGAGGGTTCACCGATTGAAGGTGCGAGCCTGCTCCGAGTCGCGACCAAGGTGGTTTGTGCACATGCCGATTACGCAAAGGGCCACGTTTTTGGCCCGCTTCTGCGCTTATTCGTAGCTTGTTCACGCGCAGGGCATCTAGTCTAAAAGATCACGCACAGGCGCATGCATTCTTAGAGAGAGTTGGATTGCGGACTTGGAATGACCTGGCAGATAGTAGTGTTCTTGATCTGCAGCGCTCAATTTGTTCCAGCACGACGGAAGTCTGGTTAAATTTCCTTTGAGCAGCATTTGGGGAAGGAAGGGAAGGGAAAGGAAGGAAGGAAAGAATGATGAAAAAAGGAAGGAAGGAGGGGGAGAAAAAGAGGAAAGAAGGCGCTCAGATTCCTACCTACCGGTACATTGGGTACACGTGCTGAACTGGTGATCTTCGTGCGCTGGCGAGGCCAAATCCCCAGATTTGGAGGGGATGAGATTCGAGTCAGATTTCGCTCTCCTAAATCAAGCCAAACTGCCTCACCTTGATGCCTGCAGGGAACAAATGAACCGCAGGATCCATGGAAATTAATGAGCATCAATGGTCATGAATTGCTGTACTGGTGGCAGATAGTCCCTAGCAACAAACCGCCAAATGTTCAATGGTTCGTATCCAAACCCCAATGCCATCGATGCGAGATGCATGTGTGTGTGTGTGTGTGTGAGTGGTGGTGCGTGTGTGAGATGCGTGTGTGTGTGTGTGTGTGTTGTGTGTGTTGTGTGTGTGTGTGTTTTGTGTGTTTTGTGTGTTTTGTGTGTTTTGTGTGTTGTGTGTTGTGTGTTGTGTGTGGTGTGTGGTGTGTGGTGTGTGGTGTGTGGTGTCTGGTGTGTGGTGTGTGGTGTGTGGTGTGTGGTGTGTGGTGTGTGTGTGGTGTGTGGTGTGTGGTGTGTGGTGTGTGGTGTGTGGTGTGTGGTGTGTGGTGTGTGTGTGTGTGTCTGTCTGTTTGTCTGTCTGTCTGTCTGTCCTGTCTTGTCTTGTCTTGTCTTGTCTTGTCTTGTCTTGTCTTGTCTTGTCTTGTCTTGTGTTGTGTTGTGTTGTGTTGTGTTGTGTTGTGTTGTGTTGTGTTGTGTTGTGTGTGTGTGTGCTGTGTGTGTGTGTCCTGTGCGTGTGTGTTGTGTGTCTATGTGTGTTGTGTTTGTGTGCCGACGATCCCCTCCGTTGTCTTTTTCATGCCCCGCTTCCGGTCCTTCTAGCGGACAGCTAAGGAGATTGCAAACTTTGAGGGGCCCTTTGAAAGCAAGCAACAAAGAAATGGGTCCAACAGAGCTGTTCCGTACGATTCGAGCGTTTGCTACATGTGTACACCAAGCTGAACAAGGGTACCGCAGAAACCCACGCACGCCGAACCAATTCTAGCCGGGACCTGGAACTCGCTCCGGTCTGTTTGAGCGCCTCTCGGCTTGGTCGTTTTCAGGGTGCTGTTTTGGGTGCTTTTAGAAGGACACCTCGAGGAAACCACAGGCTGTCGATGGCTGGCCACGAAACAAATGAGCCAAGTGCTCAAAATGTCCAAGTGCTCAGTGAATGGCCCCCTGTGCATGGGTGTCTAATTCTTCAGGCTAGGTACCCTTTGTTTAAGGACTAGTTGTAGAGGAAGCCAACACCCAGACTTCCTGAGGACGAGAGCTTGACGGGAAAAAAGACACCAAGCAGTCCGAAAGCTAATGGTTCCGCTATGATTGCATATGGCTTACATGGAACCGAGCGGAGCTTCTCACTCTTGGGCAGGTGCCTCACACTCGATGGGACCACAACACGTACTTCTCCAGCGAGCCTGACTCGTGGAAGATGATGAAGGCACGAAAGGGTTGAGGCTCGGTCAGGAATTCCCCTGCAAATCAGAAGGAATCCAACCATCCCCAAAAGGAGATTACTCTAAACATGATCATGTGAAAATGCAGAGAAGTGGATACTGGGTTTGGAGCTTGTGCAGCCAGGGAGCCCAAAGATCCCGCCTTCCCCCACCCCCCGTAAAAGGTTCAAAATGAAAGCTTCTTTTTTGGGTTCGATTACGCACATCTCTGGGGGGTTGTCAAAACATTGTATACCCTATGCCTTTAAAGTTCACAGGGTGTCCAAACAGTCCTCCTAGTTTCGACGACCCCGCATCAGTTGATTGAGAAAGCAAGGGGCCCTGC